TTCCTCTTCAGTTGTCCTGACTACCGACCTCTAGTAATAAATAATTAAACTAAGGGTTGGTAATACCTGCGACGGAAGCTCACTTCTCCTCTTCAGTTATCCTGGCTACCGACCTCTCGTAATAAATAAATAAACTAAGGGTTGACAATACCTGCGACGGAAGCTCACTTTTCCTCTTCAGTTGTCCTGACTACCGACCTCTAGTAATAAATAAATAAACTAAGGGTTGATAATACCCGCGACAGAAGCTCACTTCTTCTCTTCAGTTGTTCTGGCTACCGACCTGTTAGCAATAATAGGCTTGATGCACACCCACGCTCCAAAGTGTGCCAGGAGTAACGGACAAAAACTGGGGAAGTTTAACTTAACTGACACTCAAGGTGGAGCGTATACATGACGTGCTATTAACCTTGTGAGCTGCTACGGTATTACAGTTGTTACAATTTTATTCTTGGTTGCTACTTTTACAAAGCATTCAATTTAACTCATAAATAATTTACATTTCAAACATTTTGCCATTGTACATATGGGCGAAGTGTAGAACTTCAAAATTTAATTGTTTTTTATTGTAATTCTTATGCAGTTATATGTTATAGAAAACAATGTTTAGTTCCTGTAGTTTTCAATGAACAAAGGCTCAACTATTTTAGATGATGTGTGTGTGTTTTTCTTATAGCAAAGACTACATCGGGCGATCTGCTGTGTCCACCGAGGGGAATCGAACATCTGATTTTAGCGGTGTAAATATGGAGACTCTTACTGCTGTCCCACCAGGAAACTCAACGATATAATACTAATTTCTAAGATGAAAACATGAAAATTTATAACAAGGTGTGATATAAATGTAAACTATATATTCTTATACGCACACAATATTTCTCAACCAGAAAGATATTTAATCCTTATGACACTCAAAGTATTCCAGTAGTGTTCTTGAGTAGAACGTTCTGAAGGACAGAACTGAAGTAAGCGTTGAAAAACAGAGTAGAAATAAGAACAAGTGTTCTTCTGTCCCGCCGTTGCCCCCCCCCAGTGGCGCAGCGTTATGTCTGCGGACTTACAACGCTAGAATCCTGGTTTCGATACCCGTGGTAGGCAGAGCACAGATAGCCCATTGTGTAGCTTTGTGCTTAATTACAAACAAACAAACCCACCGTTGTGTTCTACATAAGGACATTAGGTGGTTTGTTTTGTGTCTATCTGCGCTAGCTGTTCCTAATTTTAAACTTATAGGTCAGAGAAAAGGAAACTAGGCAACAGCACCAACCGCCAACTCTTTAGTTACTCTAATAGGTCCCAAAGTGTGGAGTGCGATGTTTCAACAGCCAGACTAGCTGCGGATCTTTGGATTCACAATCCAACACTCTAACCACTTATCACATCAAGAGCTCTTACAAAAATGATTGGTTTTATGTTGCTGCAAATCAATACATTTTCTTTAAACAAGTAAATGATATTACTGCCAGTATTTAACAAGTAAGTTTGAACTTCCAAATATTATAATATAACCGATCAATTTTTCTCAGCGATAGCTCAGATTTTATTTAGATATCGAATGTTGTGTTGTTTAGTTTCTTTTATTGTGTCGTTTGTGTTGTTTAGTTTCTTTTATTGTGTCGTTTGTGTTGTTTAGTTTCATTTATTGTGTCCATTGGGTTATTTAGTTTCTTTTATTGTGTCCATTGTGTTGTTTAGTTTCTTTTATTGTGTCCATTGTGTTGTTTAGTTTCTTTTATTGTGTCGTTTGTGTTGTTTAGTTTCTTTTATTGTGTCCATTGGGTTGTTTAGTTTCTTTTATCGTGTCCTTTGTGTTGTTTAGTTTCTTTTATCGTGTCCTTTGTGTTGTTTAGTTTCTTTTATCGTGTCCATTGTGTTATTTAGTTTCTTTTATCGTGTCCATTGTGTTA